CCCCCCCGCCCACACAAGAACCACTGCATAGAAATAGCCAGGCTGAGGATACTCCACTCTGGCCTTTCACATCAGAGTTAAATGCATAACGACAGAAGCAGACAATAGTCCCAGGCTACTTCATTCACTGACTTAAGCCCAAAAGGAAACAAAACATATTCAGCAAGATAAAGCTCTTGAAACCCCCAAACCCACTTGCCAAATTAGAGAATGCCACGCTTAACTATCAAACCAGAGGACCTTTCATCTCAAAACTCAGCATGGCAGAGCCGCTCTGCTATGATTGCATAGCATTTCTCTTCTGCATGTGCCCTGGCCTCAGCCCCAGGCTTCAGCCCTGGCCCAGCCCAGACCGGACAACTACCTGAGACAAAGGAATAGGCCGCTAGGATGTTGCTGAGTAAAGCCATGTCCACGCGCTGTGATCACCGGCTCTGAGCTGCGGCAGAAGGGTGGCTTCCACGTGGCATCCACAGGAGCCTTCTGGAGATGCTTCAGCTGGATCGATGTGGCCCCTCCCTCTCTTCTCTTCTGTTTGGGAACACAAAGTGAGTGATGAGAACACATTCTGCTTTCCTGAGGCTGCGTTCCAGGTAGCCTAGGCTTAAAACAAAGAGCCAATCTCCCAAGTACCAGCCAGCCTTCCCAGCCAGGGATCTCGGGTCTTGTCTTTGTTGCTCTAGCAAGCTTTTTGGCTTTCAAGGAAGCGGCACCTGCTTATATCTCTGATTTTCCTGGCCTTTCTTCTCTCTCTGCCCCATAGCCTCCCAACTTTGCATGTTAGCACTTCTCTCTCACCTTTCCTGGTACTTTTTATTGTATTCTCCTCATTTGCCCTTCAAGCACAGCCCATCATCACTTTAATCACTGCACTGTAACCCCAAGCCCAGCCTGCTCCTCGCCTGGCTCGGCTTCCTCTGCACTGACAGCACCTGTGTACTTTGATCAGCTTGCCTCATCCCACAGGTCACCCAATGTGTGTCTTTGGCAATGGATCTGAGCTGGGTACTCCAGACCTGCCAAAGTGTCTCCTATTCTCAAATGCCCACAAGAACATGGAAACTCGAGCCCGCTCCTGGCCCGCAGCTCACGACTCTGCCTGTGATGTGATGGGCTAACCTAACACACACACATTGCCACAGATTGCCCACCAGGGTACAGACTACAGACTTGGGATCTCAGTGTCCAGGGAGCTCAGCCTCTGGTTGGGGGAATACATTCGCTCCCCAGTTGTGGCATTATAATTACTCAGTTCGCTCAACGAAGCCCTCACAGAGAGCTCCTGAGGATGGAAGGGGGGAGAAGTGGCAAAGATTTTGATGACGCCTATCCAATGCTGTTCTGGGCTGAGGGTAGGGAACTGAGTCACAGGGTGTGGAGGGACGTCGGGAAGGAAGAAGCTAGAGAAGCAGAAGGCTCCAGTCTCTGTAGAAGAAATGGGTTCTCAGGCGTATCACAGACATAAGTAACAAGGGCCACATTTAGAGGGCCTGGAGAGCTGCGACTGCACAGGTGGATGGCATGGGTCACAACAGAAAAGACATCTCTCACTCTGGTGGACTCACATGGGCTCAGGGAAGACCAAAACAAGGAAAGACAGGCCAACCTGGAGGTAAGAGAGAAATGACCACAAGGTCTTTAGAGCAGCCAGAGGCCTTGAGAGTGATAGGATGAGGAATGGGAGCTTGGGGGCTCTGAGAAGGGGTTGGCTACTACACCTGGCTACTCTGAGCAAGAACACAGGGCTCCCTTCAACAACCATTTGAGTTCCTAAAAGGTGACAATTGGATTATACAGGTGAATAGGTGAAACCACCACCCTGAGTCCAGAAACTTTAATTCAGGTCTGAGGACTGTAGGACCCAAGAAGAGAGTGAAGCCACTGGAAAATTTCTGAGTATGTAGAGGGACAATGCTATTTCAGATCCATTCCTTCCTATCTATCCCCACCATTCTACCATGAAGCAAATATCATTTCATTTCTGGGAATTTTGCAACAGTCTCCTACCTGGTCCTGCCAACACCTATTCCTGTTTAATTTAGCACCCACTTTCACCAACAAAGTCATCTTTATAAAGTATAAATCTGATCACTTTACTCCACAGCCCAATCCTTCAAATAATCCCTATTAAAGTTCTTAATACAACACACATGCACTTGTATAATATCTGACCCCTACGTAATCAATCTCCTACCCAACTCTATACCCACACTTTAGGGTATCTATCCAAAAGAATTGAAAACAGGAAGTCGAACAACTATTTGTATACCAATTGTTATTATGGAGCATTATTCCTAGTAGCCTAAAGGTAGAATCAATCAAAGTGTCCATCCACAGGAATGAATAAAAAAATGTGGTATGTACATTCAATGCATTATTACTCACAGCCTTAAAAAGGAATTTCTGACACATACTACAGCATGGATGAACCTTGAGAACATTATGCTAAATGAAATAAACTGATCACAAAAGAACAAATACTATATGATTCCAGTTACGTGAAGTACCTAGAATAGTCAAATTCATAGAGGTAGAAAGTAGAGTGGTGGTTGTCAGTGGTTGGGAGAAGGGGAGGGGATTGGGGAGTTATTGTTTAATGGATACAGAGTACAAAGTTTCAGTTTTGCATGAAAAGTATTCTGAAGATGATGGTGGTGATGGTTGTACAACAATGTAAATGTACTTACCAGCACTGAAATGGTTAAGATGGTAAATTTTGTTATATGTATTTTACCACAATTTTAAAAATTAATAATTATAAAAATAATTTTAAGTAAAAGATGTTATCTCACTTATTTAAACAATTAATAATTATAATCTATCACATTTATAGGTTAAAAGGAAAAAAATATCACATCAATAGGTGCAAAATGTATTTGTGTAAAATTTAATAAAAATCTATGATTTAAAAAAAAAAAAAGCCCACTGCAGTGAAGCTCCATATCCTCCTGACTCTTTTCTTTGGGTATCAAAGTATCCAAATATTCTTCTAATATGCACTACGGTATTGTATTGGGAATTATTGGTTTACATGTTTGTCTCCTAGACCGAAGAGACATTTTACAAATCCTTGTTACTCAAGTACCTAATGTGGTTTCTTATGAAGGAGGTCCTAAGTAAATGCTGGCTTGCTGGCTGTCTGAAAACCAAAAAGAGCAATTAGGCATGAGCTTTGTGTGCGTAAGTCTCAGAGCCTCTTTCCGAACAGGTCTGAGGGTGAGCCATCTTGAACACTAAAAGGATCCCAGGGCTGACTGGCTCCGAGAGGGGTGCCAAGCAGAGTGCTCCCTCAGGACTATGAGGGGACCGCACGCAAGATGGAAGCTGCACTGTGGCACAGAAATTCTTCCTGCAAGTCGCCTCATGACCCGGATGATAATAGAGAGGGCTGCAAGAGTCAGAGGAAAGAGGAAGAGGGACGAAGAAGGCAGGCCAAGGCTGAGGAAAGACAACCTCTGCATACTCCACCCTAAAGAGCAAACAGAAAGCCCCTCCGGTCCACATGGCACAAGTCAGCCTAGAGCAGGGGTCAGGACATCTCTACCGTAAGGGCCAGAGAGTAAACATTTCAAGCTTGGAGGGCTGTACAGTCTCTGTCTCCACTACTCATCTTTGCTATTGTGGTACAAAAGCCACCATAGACGATACGTAAATGAACGAGTGTGGCTGTGTTCCGATAAAACTTTATTATTTTTTAAGTAGGTGGTGGACTCAGTTTGGCTCATGGTTTGCAGACCTCTAGCCTAGTTCTCATTAATCAAAGTATGGTTCAAGGACCAGCAGCATTGCCATCACCTGGGAGCTTGTTAAATCTGTATAATCTTAGGTACCACCAAAGACCTTCAGAATTAAAATCTCATTTTACATGATCCCCAGTAGAGTTTGCTAAGTGCTCTACCTGACTTCTCTGATCCTCTTCAGCCTGAGCACTAGGATGCTATAACACTTAGTGCCTCATTTATACATCTGATCTAGGGTAGGAAAGCAAGTCCTCACCAGCCCTGTTGCACAGTCATTTCTCTAAGTGATAACAGAGCACCTTAGTGAGGACACTGAGACTGAGATCAAGACTCAGAAAAAGAGATTCTGCTCAAGACAACTGCCAATGAGACAAGGTCTGCAGAAGTTAGAGGTGTGATGAACCCCAGAGCTAAACACTACTCCCCAACCCTTCTCCCCAAGCTCTCCCCTTAATAGCGATGTAACAGCTCCAGGGAGCTGTGGACACTTTCTGCTGGCAGTTTGCCCTCTAATTAAAACATTTCTGCATGTCCTACTGTGATGGTTAATTTCATGAGTTAACTTGATTGGCCACGGGGTGTCCAGATTACACATTATTTCTGGGTGTGTCTGTGAGGATATTTCCAGATGAAATTATGATTTGAATCAATGGACCTGCAAAAGTAGATTGCCCTCCCCAACGTGGGTGGGTGTCCTCCAATCTACTGAAGGCCTGAAGAGAAAAAAAGGTGGAAGAAGGAGGAACTTGCCCCTTTTTTCCTGCCTCAATGTTTGAACTGAGACGCCCCATCTCATCTCATCTTCTCTGGCCCTCAGATTGAGCTTTACACTATCAGCTCCCCTGGGCCCTAGGCCTTGAGACTCAGACTGAATTACACCACTGGCTTTATATATATAATATTTATTCTCCTGGTCTGTTTCTCTGGAGAACCCTGACTAATACTCCTGCCAATATAAATGTAAGAGGCATGAACCACACATTCACTCCTAAGTGCAATTTCGTGCTCTGTTCCCTAAGGAAGCTCCTTATCACTGGCTACCTCTTAGTATAGATTCTCAGCTTTGGGCAGTTTGCCCCCAGGGGACATTTGACAATGTCTGGAGACATTTTTGGCTATCACGGTTGCAGTAGGGGTTGACATGGCATCTAGTGAGTAGTGGGCAAGGATTCTTCTAAACATCCTACAATGCGCAACAGCCTCTCACAACAAAAAAAAACTATCTAGCCCCAAATATTAATGTATTGTGGCTGAGAAACTCTGTTCCAGAGCAAATATCATTACTTCATTGACCAGTCTAAATGGTTCTCAGTGTTTATGAAGCTCACGCACATCACCGATATAATTGGAAAGGTGTCAGTGAGAGGGGCAGCTCCAGCAGTCTCGAACAGGACACCACAAGTCCAAGGCCTAGGCCAGCAACTCAGTGATCCTAGTGAACAGAAATGAATGGGCTCTGGGAGAACAGCTGACACTAACCAAGTCCTCGAGAGAACACAACATCAATCAATACCAGTTCATTGATCCATAACTAGAGAGCCGCCTGGCATGATATCCAGACCAGGTCCTCTTCTAGACAAATTGACCCCAGGGATTATCTTGGCGAGGACAAAATTAGACTAAGGAGCTCTATATTTTCAACACCAGGGCTTTCTTCCAGTGATAACCGGTTGGATTAACCCTACACTATTCCAGGGAAAAATCGTGTCTATAGAACACTCTAGGGCCGGCACACTCTCTTTGGACGGCACCTACACATTCTTATAAATCTTACTCTCCGACAGCTTTCTTTCATCCGTGACCCAAAGCTCTTTCACCTAATTGCTGAAAAAATGCAACACAACTGAAAAGAGATAGCTTCTTTTCATGACTTACATTGCAGAATTTTGTCTTCCTGAACACATGCTGGTCTCTTGGTCAAGATGACAACCTGTTTTATGAACATCACCTCTTAGACTAAATGGCTAATTGCATGCATTATGTGCTATTTTTCACTGGCTTTCATTTGAGAGGTAGACCCATTTCCAGTGCTGCAAATTTATCTTCTCTGAAACCCATTTATACCTAGTGTAATCACTGAATGTACAAAATGAAATATGCCTGACCATGATACATCTTGTCTTATATTGCAGTAGCAGCAGTAAGCATCCCTGGTGTGTAAGCCCTCATGCAGGGGACTATCTCATTACACAGTGTGCAGAGGGTGGTAAAAAAAAATCTCATTATCTCCTTAGCTACCTAGGGAGAGGTGCACTGTCAGGAACAGAGGAGTCTCTGGTAAGAACAATTCATCCCCAATGACGCTGGTATCAGCAATACAGGTTCTGAAACTTGGTTGGCCCCAGTTGGCTTCTTAGGCTCTGAAAGAAAAGAGAAATGGCACAAAAATCATCAGAGAGCATTGCATGCCTAGGAGATCACATCACGCATTAGACTTGGTGCATGAACTGCTGAGCAGACCAGCCTCGGTGATGTTTGTCTGGACCCCTGACGAGATAGAATGCCATCCCCTGAGAGGGTACAGCCCACTGCCAGAGTTTGATCTGGAATTTGAACCAGACAGCTAGAAAAACTGACCTTCCAACATCATAGCAGAAAGGAAAGCTAGGAATATAAATCAAAGATGCATATTTCCTCTTTCATCTTGTTGGCCAAAACTCATAAAACGGCTAGAATGAGATGTGTCCATGTGGCCCCTAGTCAGTGAAGGTTTCAGGCCAGCCTCTCTAGAACAGGAAGGGTGGGGATTTGGTTCCCAGAGAGCAGTGCTCAGATGGGCCGTGGAGTGAAGTCTCAAGAATTCTGTGTGGGCACCAAAAACATGAAAATGCTGATGTGTGGATTCCCGCAGCCTGTGCCTTTCATCCAGAAGTCTCAAGGCCTCTGCTCATCCAGCTAGGGAAGCCAGTGGGGCTTCTGAAAGGTCTGGATCCCACACAGCTCCTTTATTTGGCAGCTTCATTTAGAAGTGTGTAGAAAGAATGAAATCAGTCACGGAGCTCACAGAGTCCTGAAGAGTCCCCCTGCTCCATGCAGACACACTCGTTCATTT